TTTTTACAATAAAAAAAGGAAAAAAATACATTGGCTATTAGTACTTAAGATTATACATACAAGCAAATTTGACATAAGAAAGACACCACACAATAGGGATAGTGGAAAGAACTGCCAGATATCATGAGTATTCAAAATATTTAATATAAAAGTTAACTGAAATTATATCTAGAGTAAAAAAATAAGAAAATCTGCTCATATTAAGGAGTTCTTTAAAAACTAAAGCTATTCTAAAGAGAAAGTAATAAAAATTTTGAAAATATAGACAGTGCTAACATTTTTTTCAGCACATATTACCATTGTATTTGGGGGTTACTCTCTCTCAATATTGTCTTTTCATTACTATATACCTCAAAATTAGATTTGGCAATCAAAATAATTTGTGATATCTGCTTGATTTAAAAATAGATCTTCATATAATTGAAATTCAGAGCCAAACTGGGAACAGCTGTATTACCTAAGAAGGAACCTATGCCGAAAAAGGGCGAGACTGTTTCACTTACAGGTAAAATTTGCTACAGAAGTGGTTTTCAAAAGATTGTTTTCTCCTTTGAGCAACTTCAAAGTGAAGATTATAAATTTAAAGATACATGTATATACTTTCATGAAGCCAAACAGGAAGAATTGAAAACCAATAAAAAATATTTTAGGAACACTTAAATAAATCAGACCTGATATAAGGTACATTTTAGAAGAGACAGGATATGCTCGTTGTTATTTCTTTAGCAATATTCGATAACGCCAAACCTTTCTAACCAACCTTTCCATTAGTGTCCGTTTTGTAGAGGGAGATACTAACACTCAGGAAGTAGAATAAAAAACAGAATCAATTCCTTACCTCATGTTGTCATGAAAACGTTTCAAAGAACTACAAAGGCTACTCATAGAAGCTACTGATAACACAGACTATTTTTTCACATGAAGCCATTTTACCTTCCAACAGCTGGAGAGCCAAACCCAAGGGCTTGAATTTCAAAGCAGTTTATGGGGGCCAGTTTGCCCTTACTTGGAATGCCTTTTGTTCTGCTCCAGGAAATGTTGAAGAAGACATATTTTCAAGATTCCTCAAACATGTTAAGCTACATGGGTCTTTCTATTAAAGATTTCTCTTTTTATTTGTATGAATGATATATCAAGCAGTATAAATAATCAGAAAGTAAATACATTTTTAATTTTCAAACGGCATAATTTCTTTTTGTATTGAGAAATGAGTCATTTTTAGCAAAACATTTGCAGTTATTAAACTTTGTGCTCATCAAATTCAACTTTACAGTTTTAATGTACCAGGATTTGATTACTATTCTAGGCATGAGTTTTTGTCGCCTCATATATATCATATATTACAAAAATGCTCAGATAACAGAAAAAAGATGAAAACTACTGCCTTTACTTGGTAAAGACTGGATTGATATCTTAGGTTATTTTGCTCAAATCAATTTCTCCTGCTCAAGAGAAAAAATAATCAGTCTCTATGTAGAACCGCAACATAAATATGAATACAAGATGAGCAATTATTAAGAGAACTGTAATTTTGTAGGAGGATTTGACATTGCCAGCCACCCAATTATTGTTCAGATGGCTTGAACACAGGTGCTGTAGCTGGCTAGAAGATGGAGCAGAAAGCTGGGATTCATATCTTTAGCACATGGCAGACCACCCTCTGTCTCAGTCTCCGCTATGGGGAAATGTCAAATCCCATTAGAACACACCCTAAATAAAACACCAGGAGTGGTGGTGCCTGGGGACAAACTACTGAAAATCAGAATTTGGAAAATGTGTTACTCCTTTATTGCACACCCATAACCTCAAGAAGGGAACACCGTGGAGATGTCAAAGGGATAAGAAGTACAATTCTAGTGGAGAGCAGATGACTGTTTAATATTTAGAATTTTCTGAACTAAGTCTGAGTGATTCTCCTATTAAACTACCATATTTTTATGCAAATAACGTGTACCTTCTGTGTTTGTTTGCCAATCACGTCCTCCCCCTGTGAGGTATTTTCATAAGCACTGCTATGCCAATTTTTTTTTTCACATGTAATTGGCATAGCGGCACTTATGAAAATATCTTGTGGGGGGGGGGTGTGATTGGCAAACAAACGTAGAAGGCACGCGTTATTTCCGTGGAAATATGGTATTAGAAGCAGCACAACAACTGCGTGAGCTTGTCTATAAAGTAACAAAAAAGGGAGTGTTTCCAGTACTCCCACTATGTAGAGTCTTAAAGTAAAACCTCCAATAGAGGCTACAATGCATTAATTTTTAGCAGGAAAGATTTCTAGGAATTCAGGAGGGCTAGGCCTCATGGCCATGTGCAGGAAACGGACAAGAAAATTTAAATCAACTTGTTTACTGTTCTGCATTGGTGGTCTTTTCAACTAAGAGGCACTGACACTGTGGGATAAAATCCACAGTACTCCCATGCTCTCTGGGCCTGTTCATCACCCAACTGTATTTGAAGGCTCACGATTCTTGTAAAATACAAAGTGAATATTATGTGACTACTCTAATAATAAAATTACTGTGAAACCAAGTCCTCAAGGGGAAAAGGACATAATGTTTCTACTAGAAAAGCCACATACCAAAATGCATCATGTCAGACAAACATGTCATTAGAAGTGAAACTTGTAAACCAGATTAATTCATGAACCAGATAGATATTCCAGGGTAATCTTTAGCATATGTTGTGTTAAATCAATCTTGGTAGGCCTGTGCCTTCAACACTGTTTGGTTTGAGGTTTAAAAACATGGGAAATACCATGCATTAGAGAGTAGGCCAGTTAAAGACTAATAAAACAATAACAGTTATTATAACTATTACATTAGTTATATGCCCAATTCTCTCTGAGGAGATGAGAGGGTGTGCAGTCCCAAACCACAAGGGGATTATGAATTTATACAGATGGTGTCACCCAATGGGGAGATGGAGCGCTCTCATCCTTGAGCTATGGGAGGGGGTCTTCTCACTCCTTTTGGCCAAGAAGGGCTATTGGATGTCACTACAGATAGAAGGGAAATAGGTGGATAGCAAAATGTGTGTGGCTACCAGCCTCTATACATTCCTATTCTCTATGTTGTTCTTGTTAGGTGCTATCAAGTTGATTTCAACTCAAACTGACCCCATGTAACAGAGCAGAACTGCCCCACAGGGTTTTCTTGGCTATAATCTTTACAGAAGGAGATTGCCAGGTCTTTCTCCTGCAGAGGCCCTGGGTGGGTTTCAACCACCAACCTTTTGGTTAGCAGCTGAGTGCTTAATGGTTGCATCACCAGGGCTCCTTCCTATTATCTATAGCAGGTAGCTAATGACTATACTTCCTCCTCAATATTCATGTTCAGGTACAGAGTCGATAGGCTGTACTGCTTCTGAGCTACACCTAGCAGCATAACTTCAAAAGAGGTTTTGGAATAAAGCTGAAGGACTCGGATGTGGATAATTCCTGAAACTCCTTGACTTAATGCCTCTCCTTTACTGGGGGCTACTCCCGTTGAACTACTATTAATCAATGTTGTCTCTCATGCGTTATATCCATATAATTCCGGGGTGCTTAAAGAATTGGTCCAATTCAGAAATGTCTAATGCAATCTCCAGAGCTTGCTGGCCAGGCTTGCAAGAGAAGTAGGATATAACATGCCACAAGTAAAATATTTCTCTCAAAAATCTGTAGATCAATGTGTTGCCTAAAAAATCCCTAACTAATATAATCTGAGGAAGAATCATCCTTCCTAAGAGTTTCTCAAAAACTGATATTGGGCATTAAAAAACATTAGAAAACAAAACAAGAAACAACAGTCACCCCCCCAAGCTGAACAAAACAAAAGCTCCCCCAAACCCCAGGGGGCATCTTTCATCTTTGAGATGCAGAGGATGGAACGAGAGGCCAGGAATGTGGTTCCAGGGAGACTACCTTCTGATAGCTCTAGAGCTTACATCACACTTCACACGCACTGTGCTGTTCTATCATCAGTTCAGGACAATCGCTGACCACCAGGGAGACACGTTATAACACGAAACTGAGAGATGGGTCAGTGGTCCTCCTCTGCACTAAAAAAGCAGCGTCCTATGACATCAACGCCGTCTATGAAAAGATTGCACTGCTTTGCAACTTTTCACCAAGAAAACTTGAAAAATGTGATGTCCATGTGTTACTGCTTGAACCCCATTCTTACGGCATTAGTATTGCTTACAGTCATTTTCTACAGAATCATGTGTGTAATCTCAAACATGTGTCAGGCTCTGTGTTCCCTATTTACCAATTATTTAATTAGCTCTGTTTGTTCTCTGAGATACAGGCAATGTAATATTTCTTTATTTCCTTCATTTCAGTATAAGTATATGCCAAATATTTTCAAAAGTCTACAGATGTATCCTATTAATCCATACTGTTTGTTAGGAAAGTATCACTAACATCAGAAGAGAAAGCTTCTCTTCTTGTTATACAGACACGCTGCCATCCTTGACTTCTACCACACTCTGAAAATCAAACCACAGCCTAAGAGAATTAAAGTGTGAAGAAACATGAGCCACTCGGACACTGTGCAACACTGAAGCTTATTATCATACTTAAAATTTCCCTCTGCATTTTGGCTTAAGGAATCAGAGGATATGTTTCTAAAATATTCTCCCTTAAAATAATATCTGTATCTATGCAAATTAATAAAGGTCTGCTCGTCCAAAAAGTTGAATTACCACGTCTACTTACTTCCCTAAAAGATTACAAGGCATTCTCATATTCTGCTAGTGGGTTTTGACAAGCACACCCGTTACTGTGAAAATAATTATGTAGTTAAGTTGTTTCTAAAAAGCCCTTTTCTGAGTTCCAAAAATCTCATACTTTTTCCTTTTTCAATTACTTATTTTGTTTTATTTTAGTCTAGATGCTCCCTCCACTTAAACAGTACGTCGCTGAGCCCACAAGCATGCAGAAGTCACTCCACTCTGCCGAGACCAAATGAGCAGACTGTCCTTTCATCCACAAGCTAATGATGAACCGCCCAGCTTCAACAAAGCAAATCACATTCACATGGAGACTCTCGGCTGTGATGACCATAGCTCACTAAAACCGATTATACCACCTCGTAATATCCCTGTCTTCCCAAGTCGCAGTGTCTCTCCCCTGGGGAAGACTATTTAGCAAATTATTAACAGAATCTTTTTTCAAACAGTGTCTAAATATCTTTTCCTCAACTCAAGGTTTTGCTTCACCTTCATATCTTCCTAAAAAAAGAAAACGACTCAAAGCAAAAGCAGACAGGAAATCTGCCGTGTAAGTAGATGAATGGCTAGTCATCCTCCTTAATAACTAAACCTCATGACTGCAGAAATGGGGCTTTCCATTCGGCAAACCACATTAACGTGAAATATGCTTTTCTCACTCTTTCAGTTCTGCAGTTCCTTCTTTCTTGTTTTTAAAATCTGCCAAAGTGGCATTATTAGCTAACAAAACTTCCCCATGTGACCTCTGTCCATAGTTCTCCAAGGTCAAATGGATGCAACACATTTGTAGAAGCTTTGTTATGAAAAGTTACAAAAATGGAAACTCTTTCCTAAACTTGGTTCTCAGTTGAGAATGACAGTGAGGGCTGTTAGATGGCTCATCTCAAGTGTGAAATATATTACTGAATAAGCAGGGAGTATATTATTTAGGCAGAGATTATATTTGCAACATTTAAAAACACATCTCTTCTCCTTCAACGTAAACTCTCCCACAGAAGTGATTCACACCACTTTCCAAAGTTCTATATACTATCTAAAGAAAAGGAAAAAACAAGGAAGAACTAAAGGGGATTAGCACCAACATTATTCCATCACATATTCTTCTAAAACACACCCGAAGGGTTCGTACCAGTGACCCACTGAGAGAGAGGTTAAGGCCAAGCAAGGTGCGGGCTTGAGCTAGAACCAGAGTGAGTGAAGCAGTGAAGTCTGAGGTTTCAATATTAACCTGGAGCCTCAAGCTATGCTGGTCATCTGAATGACATGGTTGGAAAAGGTAGCTTCAGAAGGGGGTGGCTGCCCACTCCTCCAACCTGGACTCTTCCCTCTCAGACTGGCTGGACATCCTGCTTGGTGCTGGTCAGGGAACAGTCCGTGGAGAGGATCACAGTGAACAATGTAAAAAAATGAGAGGACAATGGCTCAGTTCACAACGCAGCAGCATTCTTCTCAGGCCTTAACTAGTTAGTCAATTTGCTTGAGAAACAGCAGTAAATAAGCTCTAGCCCACTGACGCCCAGGCACTCACTTTCTCCTCTCCCATAAGTGAGCAAAACACTTCATCTCTGAAGGACTCCCCAATGCCATGTTCTCAAGAAGGTGAAGCTCTTCTAATTATTAATAATCGTCTGTGAATTTCACATGAACTAGTCTTCAGAAACAGTGGCCCGTCATACTTCAGAGCTTAGCACAGTGACTGGAATTTGAGAAGTGGTCAGTAACTACTATGAAGAGCTATTATGCCTCCTATCTCACTAGTCTTAAATGGCTAATCTTACATGAAATTCACTGTGTGCACTGTTGCAGAGTGTGAGAAGCAAGGGCATTTTGGTCTATTTAGACCCTTATTCAATCTAAAGACTTGCAATGGACAAAATAGCCAAATTTAGTTCCTTGATGACAAAAAAGCGATTATGGTCAAGCCAATGGCTATTTCTGTTTGGTTCATTTGTTTGTTCATTCAGTTATTAGACAAATATTCAGTGCCTAACTGCTGTTCAATTATGAGGAAGAAAAGAGTTCCTTCATCATTAAACACTGACACTGATTGTCGGTGTCAGAATTGGCTTTTCTGTGACTTACCCATTATACTGTCTGTTCCGTTGGCAGGAGGCGTACAGGAAGAGGTGCTGTAATGGTTTGTACCACTACGATGAAAAGTTGACATCGGAGGAAGACTGGAATTGATGTCAGCTGAGGAGTGTGATGGATAGGTCTGTAGCAAGAGGCAGAAAAAGGTCATCTTCAACCACAAAATAATTTGGTGGGTTAGTTTATTAATACTTCTTTGAGAACTCTTTATTTTGCAATGGTGGTAACCTTCATATGTTTAAAACACCCAAGAATACATCTTGCTTAGATTGGAGAGCTTTCATTTTTCAAATAATAAAATACATAAATACATAGCTTGGATTTGCATCAAATGTAGAGAAATACAATTGCAATGTAAGATGCTGAGAAACAAACAATCACAATCTCTAAATCTGAAAAATACTGCTTAAAATCATCTCCTAGATTTCAGGAGCATAAAGGACCATTTTTACTATTTTTTGCAAGGAGGAAGGGTCTGTTGATCAATTGAAGGATTTATGCCTTTGAATTGTGGTGTTGACGAAGAACACTGAATACACCACAGACTGCCAGGAGAACTAACAAATCTGTCTTGGAAGAAGTACAACCAGAATGCTCCTCAGAAGCTAGGATGGCAAAACTTTGTCTCACGTACTTTGGACATGTTATCAGGAGGGACAAGTCCCTGAATAAGGACATCATGCTTGGTAAAGTAGAGGGTCAGGAAAAAAGAGGAAGACCCTCTACAAGACAGACTGACACAGTGGCTGCAACAATGGGCTCAAACATAGCTATGATGGTGAGGATGGCACAGGACTGGGCAGTGTTTAGTTCTGATGTGCATGGTGTCACTATGAGTTGAAACCGACTTGATGGCACCTAACAACAACACTGATCCACTGAGAGAGATTTCACTATATAATGAATAAAACAATATCATAACCCAGAGGGTTTACATTACACTTCCCTCTGACCTTGGACACTAAATGGCAACAAATAGTAACTTGTCTCAAATCTTCTTCCTGCCAAATTTGATGATCTTTCTGAACCCCGGTAAGAACAAAATGGCAAAAAAAAAAAAAAAACCAAAACACAAACCACAAACAAACTCCTCTCAAAAGGGTCAATATGTAAAGTTTTAAATCAATGACTATATTTAATTAAATCAGAACCAACATGAACTGAAAATGACTTGTTTCAATTTGAGTTCTTTCTTTGTAAGCCCTCTCTGTTAGCAATCCACTATATTGCTGACTATGAAATAAGAACATCATCTTTATAAAATCATTTGATTTAAGGCTTGGTTTTGGATTCAGCTATTATGCTAGTTGTTCGAATAAGCTACTTTTCTGGAGGTATATCACAATACCCACAAGCTGGCAAATTATTTGCTACTGAACCATCTGTTTGGGAAGGGGTAGATAACTAAAGGGACATGGTTGCTTACAGAGATGTATCCTTTTCAAGATAAAAAGTAGCTTAGAAAGTTGTTCTCATAAGCATGTGAATATATCAGAAATATATAAAAGAAACATTTAAGTTAAAATATATACTTCCACATATGTATATACTAATGGGATATGGATCCTTATTATATCGTTACTGGAGATGCTGTTAAAATTGTTTGATGTAAAATTAGAGACTGAATAGGATACTGATAGTCAAGGGTGCTTAAAGCCCCAGGCACTTGTTCACAAGGAATTAAACCCTAGACTCCTGTTGTGTCCCTCCTCATTCTGTGAGGCCCATCCTGAGTCCTATCTCTTCTTGAGGTTTCCCTTATGTCTCAGGCTGAGTTCTCTAAAGAACAAAACCAGTGAAGCGTATATGTATACATATATATCACAGTCCACCCCTTTCCAACTTGTCACCTGTACAAATCTTAAACCATACACAATCTCTAAATAAAGACAAAGTCATGCTTGCGCCTAACATGATAACATGCATACAACTGTAAATGCACTGGCCCCGTTTACATCTCATATTTTGTAAGTGAGGAAAACAAAAATATTTGATACACACATAAAAGGAAGAAATATTCATAACAATTACAGTCCTCATTTCTGTAACTGGTCACGTGGTTGTAACTAGTATTTAGAACTAACTTCTTCCACCACCCATTCCATACTCCTTTTACCTTCAGCAAGTACATCAGTTGGTCATGGTTGTTTGCCTGGTGGGGTGACCCAGACCTTCACTGGTGAAGGGCCTGGGCCATTAGTAGTTATGTCTAAGTTGGGTTCTGTAGTTTTTCATTGACTTTAATCACAGGGCATGGTAATACTAACAGATATCCTAAGGGATCTCCTGTATTCCAGACATACTCTTCTTTACCTCCATTATGCAACACCAATCTGATGTAGTCAGGATCAATTACACCAGCCAATGTGGTAACGCCCTTCTCTACCTGTTGATCCAGAGGCACGAGGAGCCCAAACCGGTAGGGTGACATTTTTAACTTCCAGTTCAACAGAATCTGTGTTTTGTCTCTAGGTGGGAACATTCCTCCCTTAGGAATTAAGACTTCTAGACCTGTATAGCATAGGGTATAGGGACAGGAGGCAAAAATTTTGAGAGTGGATCACTAGGGGTAATAGTGAGTGGTGTCACTACCATTTCAACCCTTTGATTCCTAGAACCGTGAATTTTGGCTATGGAAAAAACAGCATCGTAAGTTAGATGCTGGTTTAGACCATACACAGCCTCCTGGAGAACACTGCCCAACTCAGCAAAGTATCGCTACCTAGCTGCCGCCATACTTTGTCTTTGGGAGGTCATCCCATCGTTCCTGCTTCAGGATGATGGGGAACATGGTAATGCCAGTGAATTCCATTAATATGGGCCCAATGCCACATTTCATTTACTGTGAAGTGAGTTCCTTGATCCTAGGCAATGCTATGTGGGATACCATGACAGTGGATAAGACATTCAGTGAGTCCACGGATGGTAGTTTTGGCAGAAGCACTGTGTCCAGGGAGGCAAAGCCATATTCAGAGTAAGTGTACAACCCACTAAGAACAAAATGCTGTCCTTCCCATCACGGAAGTGGTCCAGTGTAATCAACCTGTCATCAGGTTGCTGGCTGATTGCCCCTAGGAATGGTGCCATATTGGGAACTCAGTGTTGTTCTCTGCTGCTGGCAAATTGGGCACTCAGCAGTGGCTGTAGCCAAGTTAGCCTTGGTGAATGGAAGTCCATGTTGCTGAGCCCATGCATAACCTCCATCCTTGCCATGATGGCCACTTTGTTCATGAGCCCATTGGGCAATGACAGGAGTGGCTGGAGAAAGATGACCAGTTTCCACAGAAGGCATCATCCCATCAACTTGATTGTTAAAATTCTCCTCTGCTGAGGTTACCCTTTGGTGAGCACTTACATGGGACACAAACATCTTCTCTTCTTTGGCCCACTCAGAGAGGTCTATCCACATACTTCTTTCCCATACCTCCTTGTCAACAATTTTCCAATCATGTTCCTTCCAAGTTCCTGACCATCCAGCCAAACCACTGGCCACAGCCCATGAATCAGCAGACAATCACACATCTGGTCATCTCTCCTTCCAAACAAAGTAAATAACCAGGTGCACTGCTCAAAGTTCTACCCACTGGGAGGATGTCCCTTCACCACTGTCCTTCAGGGAAGTCCCAGAAAGGGGCCGCAGTGCTGCCACTGTCCACTTTCAAATGATGCCTGCATGTTGCGCAGAACCATCTGTAAACCAGGCATGAGCTTTCTCTTCCTCAGTCAACTGATCATAAGGAACTCCCCATGAGGCCACAGGTGCAGACTAGGAGACTACAGGTAATATGACAAGAGTGGAGACTATGGGCATTTGGCCCACTTCTTCTCGCAACTTATTTGTGCTTTCAGGTCCGCCTTGGGCCCTATCTCGTATATACCACTTCCATTTAATGATGGAGTGCTGATGTGCATGTCTGACTACATGGCTCTGTGGGTCAAACAATACTCAGTTCGTGATGGGCAGCTTAGGCCGCATGGTGATTTGGTGGCCCACGGTTAAGCTTTCAGTCTCTACTAAGGCCCAGTAACAAGCCAAAAGCTGTTTCTCAAAAGGAGAGTAGTTATCTGCAAAGGATGGCAGGGCTATGCTCCAAAATCCTAAGGGTGTGAGCTGGGATTCATCAATGAGGGCCTGCCAAAGACTCCAAACAGCATCTCTATATGCCACTGCCACTTCAAGCACCATTGGATCAGCCAGATCATATGGCCCAAGTGGCAGAGCAGCTCACATAGTAGTCTGAACCTTTTGCAAAGCATTCTCTTGTTCTGGGCCCCACTCACAACTAGCAGCTTATTGAGTCACTTGATAAATAGGCCAGAGTAACACACCCAAATGAGGCATATGTTGCTTCCAAAATCCAAAGAGGCCCATAAGGCATTGTGTCTCATTTTTAGGTGTTGGAGGAACCAAATGTAACAGCTTATCTTTCACTTTTGAAGGAATATCTCCATATGCCCCACACCACTGGACTCCCAGAAATTCCACTGAGGTGGAAGGCACTTAAATTTTTGTGGGAGTAACTTCCCACCCTCTAGCACTCAAATGTTTTACCAATAAGCTGAGAGTCATTGACACTTTTTCCTTACTAAGTCTAATCAGCATAATGTCATCAATGCAATGGACCAGCATGACATCTTGTGGAAGAGAAAGGTGATCAAGGTCCCTGTGGACTAAATTATGACATAGTGCTGAACAGATGATATACCTCTGAGGCAGAACAGTAAAGGTGTATTGCTGGCCTTGCCAGCTGAAGGCAAACTGCTTCTGGTGGTCCTTCAAAACCAGAATCCAGAAAATGGCACTGGCCAGCTCAATAGCTGCATATGTGGTACCAGGAGATTCATTCATTTGGTCAAGCAATGAAATCACATCAGGGACAGCAGGTGACACTGGAGTCACCACCTGGTTAAGTTTACAATAATCCACTGTCATTCTCCAAGATCCATCTGTTTTCTGCACAGGCCAATACACGAGTTGAATGGGGATATGATGAGAATCACCATCTTTGCATCCTTCAAGTACTTAATGGTGATGATAATCTCTGCAATCTCTCCAGGTACGTGGTATTTCTTTTGGCTTACTACTTACCTAGGTAAGGGCAGTCCTAATAGCTTCCACTTAAC